TAGCCTACGTAAATCCTTAGAACATGAATGGGGCATACATGAAACATGCGATGGAGTTGATGAACTCTGAGATTTGTCGAGAAAGAAGGAAAAACTAAGGGATCTGCTTGACTGCGGCAACTTCTTCATTTCATAAAACCTTGTACTAGGTTATGTATGTTTTTGACTGTCGCAAAGGGTCGGCATTCTTCGAGAGTTCTTACTGTATTCCAAAACAGTATCATAAGATGTTGTGTTTATTGTAGTACAGTGTGCGGTGAACGGGATAGATCTTTCTGAATACCAAATTCATTCCTTAATCAACGTGATAACCATCTTAACCTTGGTGACCGATACACAGCTGATGTTTTAGGAGGACTTCATTACTAAATTAATGGCGCTGGCTGCAAGCCCGGAATGAAGGTGCAGGTAAGCGTAGCTATATGACGCTGCGTTTCGAAGAATCGCCGCAGTTCTTGGTAAATTCTCAAACTCCATGTGTGTTGAATAAACGCTCTCCTCTTCTCAAAATCTTTTAGACATGAATGAGTCCGGACGAGAGGATCCCATTAGCTTTTCTGCAGTGCAACTCAATGGGAAACAATCAGATTCGTCAGTATATGGTTCCTTTCATTAGAGCCAAGGAGCCCTTAAATGTTCCACTGGAAAAGAATTGGCAAAACCATCACAGTTTCCCTACGTAGTTCTGGGGGACCATCATGAGTTTGTTATGGTTCACAGACCACGAGATGGGATATGTGGTGGGATATGTTACAGGTGATTCAAAGTGTTATTGCGACTCTTTTATTATTACCTGATTGGCTCAATCCATATATGTCACGTCTGGACGCATATTTCTGCGCCGATGAGTGCATCACAAGGTCTTCAGATTTAGAACTCAGGCTGAAGTAAGGGACATTTCACTTATAGACGTATCGGTGACGTGTGATCCTCAAAGGATGCATCGACTAGGATGAAGATGCGGACAATACTGTAAAACAACGGTCCACAGAAAGCTTCATACCCGTTGCAGGATATGTTGTAATGCCCAAGCTTGAGCGAAAAGCTTTTCAAGGCTTGTGGGGCAGCAATAGCTGTTTCGAATAGCGATTTGAAGATTGGATACTGTAGTAGACTTGTCACCCACAGTCTGTACTAGCTAGAGAAGCAAAGAAGAAGATGCAACACACTTTTTAGGTAATTATCATGGTTTCAGTTACTAAGACAGTTTAGTGCCATCGGAAAACAAACAAAAAACATGTGAAGCCACTACATATAGTGAGACATACAAGAAAGATCAAAATTGAGACAGTAGTACGTGTTAGATATAGTTACTGAGTTGGTCTAGGTAAGAGTCTCCGCGGTGCTTGTCGCCTAAAAAGACCCGTTCCAAGTGGAGAAGTTGGGTCTGAGAAAGTTAACGCATAAGCGTCATTAATCGAAGTTACAATTATTTCTTTCTTGACAACAGCACTCACGGAACCCGGTTCGGTGGTAACTGTTGCCGCCAACGCCCCGGTCGGGAAAATCGAGCTATAGTTGACACAGAAATGATGCCACGAGGATTGAATCAGTGCTGCACGTGATGTTTCTTCTACTTGTTCGAACAGCGGTGAAAGATGGGATGACGATTGGACGGAGATAGAAGCACTGATAGGTGCAGCCGATGTTGAGGCGACACTGGTAAGTTGATCGCCCGCCGTCGTGGGGCAAGCACCCGCACTGGCATCCGGCTGGTACGAAATCTCAACCCGGGAGAAGTGCAGCGGAGGAAGGGTGAGAAACTCTGTTCTTCGCTTGGCATGGGCGACGCAAAGTAAGGCCTTAGTTGCGGCGTAGCGACGCACCTCAACTATAGATCCATGCTGCAAATCGAGCACGAAGCGAGCATCGGCACAGGGCTCGGTGGTTAAATGCGGCAAGCCCAACTCGGTAGGGACGAACAGCTTGCCGAGAGTTTTGCCCAGGATAAAATGAGTGGCGATTCGAAAACAAGGTGCAAAAACTTCGCGAGCCGAGTACGGGCGCACTGAACGCACAAGTGACGATACAGCCTGTTTACGGGTTAGTTGTCCTCTGGGGGCCGGCGGAGGGGGTTGAGGCTGCTGTTGAGGGGGAAAGGCGGAAAGGGTGGTTTGCGAGTTTGGTGAGTAAGCAAGAGAAAGCCAGTCCAGAGCGAGCTGGGAGTTGGATATGGCGGCAATTCCTTCATCATAAGTAGCTAAGTTGAGGGATCCGACGGGGTTCATGGCACGCGGGGCGTGCGAGTAACATTGCGGGCGGTGAGTGTTTGGATTGTTGGCAAAGAGATGCACCAGCGGCAGAGAGGAGGAGCGGGAATAGGACGGGTGCCAAAGCGTCGCCAGGATTGCGGCGCGCTTAGCGTGGTTGAACTGGCGTGCGCCTTTTTGAAGACCGAGGGGAATGATGGCAAAGTGTTTGTATGGGGACGCGGTTCAGGACAAATATGAAAGGGGTGGGGGAGGAAGATGTGGAGGCAAGCGGGATGAGGGTGTGGAATAGGGTGGAGGAAGGTAAGGGAGGTAGGGGGTGAGCAAGAAGGGAAGAACAAAAACAGTGATGCTAGGGAATAAGCAAAGGTGGGGTGTCGATTACGGAATAGTATGGAGGACAGGGGAAGTTTGTGAGACGTTGAGGAAGTCTTGTTCTCCAATGGCGTGTAGTGGGGTATGGGCGTCGGCGGGAAGAGAAGAAAGCGTTATATGACTTGTGACACGCGGTGGTAGTTGGCGGGGCAACAAAAAGTGGTTGGAAGGCAATAGGCAAAGGTGGTTGGAATTGGAAGTGCAATGATTGGATAGAAATGGCAGGCGAGGGCTAAGGAGGGGCGAATGGTAAAGGTCCGAGTGGGTATGATGAGGATGTCGGTAGACGTGGCGGAAACGCGACAAAAACAAAAGCTAGTGCGTTACCGGTGAGAGACTCGGGAGACGATGCTCGGGGTTGGTGGGTGGAAGCGGAGCACGCGATGGGGAAAACAATGGAAGGAGTTGGAGAAGAGGGTGGAGGCGAATGCGAGTCACGGAAAACGGAAATGATTTTCGGTTGGGGTTTTGTGAGAGTGAGTGTTGGAAGGGGAGGGGGGGATGGGTTGAGGTGGGTTTTGTGAGCGGGGTTTAGAGAGCTGGTACGTTTGGGGGGGGGCTTTGGGGGAATGGCGAGAAAGGGGCGCAAGACATGTGTGGAAGGGCGTTGTTTTTCTTTTGATATGGTTTGGTGGGGGTGGGGGGGTGTAGGGGAGAAAGACGAAAGCAACGAAGAAGAAAGGAGGTGGATCAAGAAAGAGGGAGGGTGTTTGAGAAAGGGTTGGAAGAGAGAAGAAGTCGTTAAATGTGGGTGTGTATGGGTGATCGAGGGGGAGGAGGGGGATGAGTGTGTGAACGGTAAGAGCAGAGGAGTTATAAGGTTGGGGAGGAGGGCAAGGTCAAAGAGGAGAATGACGTTGTTGCGATTTGGGGGGGGGGGATGAAGGAGCACTCTCACCGGCGGATGTCACGCCACGTTCGGGGCGGTTCATGATGCAAGCGGCAGTTACAGACGGAGCGCAATGGCGCGTGCTCAGGTGCAGCACACGTGCCATTTTGAATTAACTCACTGTAAAACGGTGCGCGCTGCGGAACGTACCGTTGGCGCCCTTTTTTTGGTTCTCTTTCTGTGCGCGGCGCCCATCCACGGTGAGGCACAGCCGTGTACGCGCGTGCACGCTGCGCGCGCGCTGTAAATAAGTAACTCTCAGAACCCCGCCGTTTGAATTCAGCTGGCGCGACCTCAGCAATTTACACTTCTTGTTCCCCCCCCCCCACAATCCGTCGGCGGTTGGGGCGTTGGTTGTGCCTGCCGACACCTTCAGCATCGAACAAGCCGCGTCTCGCAGAAGACCGCAGAGCTGTTACCTTGACGCAAATGTGAGGTATATCTCGACTCGGTTGCGTTGCTCTGCGCATGTCGGGAGGCACTGTAACTATGTGTGCGTGTCCGAATGAATGGCGTTGTTTGAACAAGGAACGGCTCCCAACGGGCGGTGGTACAATAATGGATGAGTTGATGTTACCCCTGGGTATCCTGGCGCGGCGTGCAAAGCAGGATGGTGATTAGTTGTATGGCTGTTGCACAGACGCAAGGCGCTCTAAACGGGCGGTGATGTGTAGCGCGATGGAACGAGGATAGACTGCATCCGATAGCGTGGTACGGGAGGGGGTTATGGTGGTGGATGCTTCGATACGTATCTGGAGTTGGATGTAACTTAACTGTTTACCCTTCGATGGCGGTGGTAGCGGGCGCGGTTTGAATGTTGAATGCGAGGCAGGAATTTTGATTCGTGATAGAGAAAGTGTCAATTTGGGTGCAATCAGTTGTACAGCATTCATCATTCATTACACAAGTGCGCTTTGCGTAGTGCAATACAAGAGTGTGTTGGTGCGTTGCGAAATCGAGTGTAAGATTAGCGCGTGGATGTGGGGGGCGGGGCGGTCGGTTGATGGATGGTGGTGGAGGAGGTGGAGGAGGAGGAGGAGGAGGAGGAGGAGGTGGTGGTGGTGGTGGTGGTTGGTGTTGTTTGTTTCGAGGCAATACGGATGTATGAGATGTGATTTGTAGATGAGGTGTACAAATGTGATAGTAAAACGCGTGCACGGGCGGAGTGTAACGTAGGGGCAGCAGCGGCAGCAGCGGCAGCAGCGGCAGCAGCGGCTGCAGATGGGGTAGAGTGAGAGCATTTGCAGGGGGGCGTGGGGTTGCGAACCGATATTTGAATGAATCCGTTGGGTAACGCGCACACGGCAAATCAGAGAAGAAGAAAAGCGACAGCAGCAGCAGCGGCGACCGACGACGGGGCAACGTGACGGGGGACGGAGCGAAGGAGCGAAGGAGCGAAGGAGCGGCGGTGGAAGCGGCTGAAACAGATGAGTTAACGAGAGCTGCGGTTATTTTTAGGGGGCGGGGCGGCTGGCAGGACGGGGCATATGTGTGTTCAACGAAAACAAAACGGAAGGGGGGCGGTGTACACCAGCCGGAATTCGAATCCGGGTCCTCCGCGTGGGAGGCGGAGATCTTAACCACTAGACCACTGGTGCTGCGCGCGCTTCGACGGTGGGGGAGCGCTGCCATCTGCATAAAAGCGTGTCCACGCGCACCGCCCAAAAAAATACAAACACAAATTGAAACAGCTTTGAAACAGCTTTACTGACATCTCTGCATGACAGGAACGCGGCTGTCAGTGACGTCGTCGCCCAAGATGTGCGCCAGCGACGCCGCGTTGATGCCCTTCCGCCCCCCCACAGCGCCATCGCCCCTGCGCTGCCGCTTCCCCCCCCCGCCCCCTGTCGGCACCATCTGGTCCGCCATCCGCCCGCTCTCCGCGCCCTTCTCAAGGCACCGCGCCACGTGCTGTCCCGCCGACAGCAGCAGCGACAGTGAGCATCCGCCGCCCTCCGCCCCTCTTGCCCACTTCCTTTTCGTTCCCGTCTTACCGCTATCTTCTGTCCCTGTCGCGCCAAGCGCACTCTCCTTCTTCACGCCGTCGGCCCTTCTGCTCTCCTCTTCTCTTGTCGCCTTCCACCGCCCGCTGTCAAGCCTACTCTTCTCCACTTCCTCCCCTTCCTGCTTCACCGCTCTCGCGTCTACATCGCATCCCTTTCCCCGACCCTCACTCCCCGTCCCACGTGCAGATAAGCACCCACATCCACAAACAGACCCACCCCCAGCACCCACACCACCGCCAGACACCCCGCCACCGCACCCAATCGCTCCCAACCCATGCGCCATCGTTCCACCACCACCACCACTATGTCCACCCACAGGCGCGCCCGAATGCGCCATTGGCATGTAGCAAGAGTGAAACATCGCCCCATGACGCACACATTCATGGCATCCACAACGCCCGCCCGCGCCGCCAGCGTATGCCGATACCGCACTGCCTGCAGCCGCTGCAGCTGCTGCCGCACCTGCATGTCCCGCGTAGCATCCATACGGGTATGCGCCGTAGTGTACGGCGTGATAAGCCGCCGCTCGTGCATGCACCTGCGCCTGAACGTGCGCCTGAACGTGCGCCTGAGCCTGAGCCTGAGCCTGAGCCTGAGCCTGAGCCTGAGCCTGAGCCTGAGCCTGAGCATGCGCGTGGTGCGCCAGATGCGCGTGGTGCGCCAGATGCGCGTGATGCGCCAGATGCGCATGATGATGTGCATGCTGTGCATGCACGTCATGTGCGGCTGAGTGCTGAGCAAGCGCATGAACATGCGCCGGATAAGCGCCACCAGCAGCACTAACAGTAGCACCTCGAGCACCAACAGCATGCGGCACCGCCATAGTGCAAGGGCCCAAAGGTGCAACGGCAAGCTGTGCAGCCACAGCCGCACCCGACTTGTGCGGCGGCGGTGGAGGCGGTCGTTGTCCCTGTCTCTGCAATCTCAGAAAGTATTTCTGAGCGTGCGAACGAATCTGAACGGCCGTTTTGCTGCCCACCAAGCGTTCTATCGCCTTCCATTCGCGCCCATATTTGCAGAGCGCGTCCACGAAACGGGCGTGCTCTTCGTCGGTCCAGTACTGACGCCGCTTTGTGAGCACGTACTTCTTGCGCGGCGGTTTGACCGGCTTGTTGGTAGCTTCGGTGTTGGAGGAGGCTGCGGCGGGAGGGCGCGCGCTAATGGTCGGCACCACGTGGTCGGTACGGTCGGAAGTCATGGCGGGTGATAGGCGAGATGGCGAAGGCCGGGGGTGTGTAGGAGACGGGCGTGCGGGAGGAGCGGGCAGATAAAGAGATCGCGCGTGACGGCGCACAGCTCGGCAGCGCAGATACGCACGCAAAGGGCCACGGGTGGCTGGCAGCGCCGAATGAGTGGGAGAGCACATTGCGCTCACATGGCAGCAGATCGCTCGCAGATACGACGCGCGCAACGGCGCGCCCGTCAGCGCCACACAATCTCAACACACGCTGTCTCAACACGCCGTCCGCATGTACACAAATCCAAAATATCCCACACGCGGGCGGCGCAGCGCCCGTTATGGGTGGGCCACGCGGCCCCACCCGCTGCTGCTTTCTAGCTTAACTTTACGCCGCCCCCATTCCCGCGCCCCCCCAGCGCGTGCGTGCGCTCCCGCGACGCTTCGCGCGCGCAGGAGGCGGTCTTTCCAACATTCAAATGCGCCGTGCCGCCTTCTGCGCCGTTCGTTGCCTTTTGCGTGTGGTGCCTGTGCTGTGTTTGTGGCCCAAACGACGTCTTCTCGTCGAACAGCGTGAACGCGCAGGGCGCCAATCCCCGCCACACGTTCCCATCTGCACTTGTTGTTCTTCTCCGTCAGCCCACGCTGCCCCCTATGTCGTGCCTTGTTACGTGACCGCATCATGAAGTTATACAGAAGACAAGGGTAAACGGACTCTCGCAATCCTCCGCACAGCGAACCATCTTCTGGAACACCTCTTCTCCTCCAGACCACTTCCGCTACACGTACGCCGCGACACTTGTAGATACCAGGCCCGACCCCTCCACTGTAGACTATCAAGAACATGATGTTATGTATCGCACATGTACTTTATCGGAGTCGCCTGTCCCAAATCCCGCTCCCGTTCCACATCACATCTCCCACACCCCTGCTCACGTGCTTTCATGTTTACGCATAGATAATTATCTAATGGTGCATTCAGCTGGCTAGCCCACTCCATCACGTTGCCCGCTCTTGTACTTTCAACGCTTTCTTTGCGCTGATTCAGGGCATCTACAATGCACGCTGGTGTGTTGTACCTTTTGGTACGTAAAGGTGAAGGAGGGTTAAAGCGTTACTAGGAGAAGCAATCACGGTTTGTGTCTTAACCACCCATACCTTTACTGCGCACGCAAACCATCAGCTCCCACCTGCCTGCACAACCCCCTTAACTATGATACGCGCCAACTACGTTACCACGCTTCTTCTTCAGCAGTGCCTCCCCTGTGCCATCTGAGCTTGCCATCCGCTCTGCTATTGGGCATACATCGCCACTTTGCGCTTTCAATCCACTTGTTCTACTTTCTTCCCCTGAACAACGCCAACTTCGTTACTCTAACGAACTCACCTCAGAACTCGGACTTCCTTGGCACACTGACTGAGGACTGGCTAAGGGAACATATCCCTTCCACTTATAAGTGTTAAGTTATCCCTATACCCCTGTCGGTCGCTAATGTTGCAGAATGTGCCAGAAATTGCTGGAACACACGTGTAGAATGTTCCAGTAGTGTCTAGCACATTGCACGCTTTGTTGGCCCAGCAAAGACTACAGTATTTTAGTGATGCTGGCGCAAATTGTCGCTTTATTATTGGTTAGTGTGCAGCTCCAGAGGTCTCTAGAAGCCAATGGAGTAACCTAGACGCACACATGAGTAACTAGCAAGTAGAAATGCGTATTTGGCTCGTTTGTAGTGCCTCTAAACACTATAAAAAGAGGTTCTGAGCTTCGGACTTCGGTCTGAACTCACCTCAACAATCGACCAACATCTAATCCCCACCCCCTATCAACCTTCAGCCACTTCAACTATCATCAACAACCAGTGAGGCGTTCGCCACTGGATAAAGGGCTTCTAGTGAGGCGTATGCCGCTAGTTTTCCAATAGGGTGGGAACGTACCGTCGCTAAGACCGGTTGAAGCGCCTTAGGCGTGGACGGGAGACGGGTAGTGTGTACCAAAGGTGTTTCTGTCGTCTGTGAGCCCCACCGGAGCTTTGCTCGAATAACGGGGTCGGTCGAAAGACCTGGTGAGTTCCGGACGGAAGTACTTGACTGGAAGCTATCCGCAGGCGAAGTGCCGTGCAAACTTTCCTGCAAAGGGCCAGCTTGGGTATAGAGTGAAAGCATATCCCGCTGTTAGTAGCTCTCCTCGGGAAGCCCTGTAAGGATTGTATGCGCCTGCTTCTGGTTAGTGCAGAGGTAGGTAGGCTGCAGAATCCACTTCACATCCGGAGTGTCTGACCGGAAGCCGAGTTTCTGACCCTTAGTGATCCTTGACATAATTTTTGGGTTGCGCGCCGTTTCAACGAAGAAGTTAAGAAGTTTTATTTGGTGATTGAGCCTCTTGCTCTCCCTAGTGTTGTTTTATTTCATCGAGTGGGTTTAGTTCTTTTGATACCACTGTTTTCAACTTGTTTTGGGGCTTTTAGCTACGAAGAGCACCCTTTTGGCTTTTATTATTACAACTTTTTGGCCCCCTGCGTCACCGTCTCATGATGGCGCCCACAACCCCCTCACCTCCTTGTTACTACTGAGACGCCGAGTAGCGGCCTACAGTGCACAGGCGGCAAGCACGGCCGCAATTCCAAATAAAAGGCACCACGGCCGCCGACGCACGTGCACGGCGGCCAGGGGTGCAGGTTCTGTCTCAACTACGTGTGGGTTGTGTGGACTCACTACTAATTACAGGCGATGGCAAATACAATCAGAACACAGTAATGGAACACTCCTGAAATCACAAACTGCAACGGCACAAATTGTGATTAAAGCACCTTCAAAATCGAGTTTTGCACTCGCGAAGATTACGATCTCTTCAAAGGGGTACTTGTGAATCTTGGGGTATGGCCTTGCCATGATGGCAGGACGTACGCCCCAAATTGCCATTTCCAGCCATCATGGCAAATCCATGCGTCTGTATAAGCATGCAAACCATCCGCTCTCCCCACCGCACACCTGCAGCGCACTTCCGACGCCCTGCGCTGCGGCCGCAGTCGCGACGACCGGCCAGTGCGCCACTCGTCCCTGTCCGCCGCCGCTGCCGCCGCTATCGCTCTTGCTGTCGCTGCTTCTCGCGCTCACAACACTGCCCGGATATTACAGAGCCTCCTCACGCCCACAACACTCACCAACAATTGTTTCTAGTACGGCTATCCATAAAGGAGAACAATATGACATTATTTGCACACAACAGCACAAATATTTACTTATTAAGACACTGGTCTATAAGGAGGAGGAAGGAATCGAGAGGAGCGATGTTCTTCAAACTTCCACGCACATATAACTTGGGGGCCAGAGCTATGATGTCATTAATCCTATTAAACTGTATCTCTATCTTGGTTTCTTTCTGGGCTATACGGCGCAATATTTCCTCTAGTTCCTC